CCCCCCCCCCCCCCCCCTCTATAAAAAACAACTGGTCCTGAAGACAAAAGTGTGCAGACGATTCAACATGAAAACTCACCCTGTTGTTGTGGTTCAGGTGGTGGGGGGCCTGTGAAAAACACCGGCTGGTGCGATTGTTGTTGTTGGAAGAGATGAGAAAACCGTTGGACTGGAGAATCTGTTGGATTTATTTGTTTATTTATTGATTTTACTTCGGTTATGGAGAATTCTGAGCCTGAAAAAGTGGTGATAGCGCCTGGATTCAAAGAGGACTGTGTAAGGATCTTGACGGAGTTCGAGGGGAATGGAGATTGGAGCTTTCAAGGGTTCTGCGAGGTGTGGAGAAGACTGAAGTTCACGAATGTTTATTGGTGAGCATGATTTTTATGAAGAAAAATAAAAAACAAATTATTGTAAATATGAAGAATTCAGAATTGGGTTTTTTCTGCCATCAAGGATAGCTTGCCACAGGGTTTTTTGACTTACTGAACCCCCTCGGGGGTGTAGCTCTCAAAAAACTCAATCATTTGATCGTTAGTTAATAAATAATTAATTGAGGATTCGTGCGGATGAAGTAGCTTTTTCATTTGAGAAGAAAATGGATTTTACGTTTTATTAAATGAGGGAATATCTCGTTAATGAGTGGATTTAGGAGAAAATGTCACAAGACATTTTTTGTTGGAAATTTAATTCTCTACGAAAAATGTTCTCAGACATTTCCCTGTAAATTCAGTGATTAATGAGATAATTCGACGATTGACAATCACTTTCCATTCAACTGTGGGAAATTCTACTTATTTATTAGTTTTAATTAAGAGGAGACTACTGTGAGTTAAAAAAGTTGCGGGCTGTTATAAAATTCATTTTTATTATAGTATCAATGGAAAATGTAAAACAGAAAATACCGATTTCTCTCGTTATGAATAATGGAAATTTTTCAATTTTCATTATTGATTGACTGATTACTCTGAAATATTTCAGTCCTCCTTTATTAGATAAATAATAATTTTTTATTTTTCATTATTACTTATTGATTACTCATTGATACGGTATTTAAAAAATGTTAATTTCGCAATATTCATTCATAATATAATGAAAAATATTTACGCGTTAATAGTGATTGAGCAAAAAATATGTAGTTGCGATGCAAATATTGGTGAAAATAATATTTGTGCCGATTTATGGTCATTTCTCTGCGCTCCATAAACCTTAGGAATCGATCGACTGAAGCAGAGATGTTGGAATTCTGCGAGGAAGCCCTCGCCATCGCAAAAGAATTCATCTCTCCTGCCTACAACGATACCCAGAGGCTGGGAGGTATCTTCCTCCTCTATGGACTCTTCTTCAAATCCCTGGTCAAGGGCCCCAAGATCAGGCTGACCAGGGCGGAGTGGGAGAATGTTGTCAAGCTCAGGGACGAGCTCTTCAAGGACGAACGGTTCGAGGCTGTCTATGTCTTGAATAATCTCATAGAGTCACATGCCTTCGCTTTCTGCTTCAAAGAACGAGAGGTAATTTTCCCAACTTCTCCACTGTTTTTGATTAATTTCTCAGGATCGAAGCAATTTATCAAAAATTGCATGAAGCATTTTTCATAAGAAATCCAATTTTCTAAAAAAAATCTCATATCATTTTTTCCTCTAAACCCACTCGTTTCCAAGGTATTCACGAAATAGAAATTGAATCATTTTCATGTATTTTTTCATCATATTTTTTTTCAACCTCCAATTACGTAATTATCTCGTTAATCAGTGGGTTTACGGTAAAATGTTATAAGATATTTTTTGTAGGAAATTGAATTCTCTACGAAAAATTTCTTGCCACATTTGTCTCCAGACTCACGCGTTTTCGAGATATTTAGAAAATAAGAAAATCATATTTTTTGGATTTGAGTGAAAACAACTTTTTATCGAACAAAATTCTTTTATTAGTTCTTCTCAATGAATAATTCACATTTTCAGAAGGGTCTGGAGAATTACTACATCGTGAGGGACGCGATGACGAAGGACAGAGCCGAATCCTCCCGCAGCAAACCGAACGAAATCATCTCGACTTTAACCGAAATTTTGAGCATCAGTGACTCTTACATCCAGACTAAATCGAAATTAATTGAGAGTTCCACTGGAACTGTTCCGAAACTGTACAATGGGCTCGTAATCGAGAGATTATTGACAGCCATCGAGACAATTCAAGACTCAAAGGGCAAAAAAATGAAGAAACGAAGAGCAAGTCATGACGAAAATTTCACTATGGATTCTTCATCTCTTGAATCTGATGGCGATGACGATAATTTCGACCCCGACATGTCATCATTCACTTGAATTTCATTCTCAACATCTCAAGAACTATTTAATTGCCCTCAATATTTTGTATAATTTTTATAATAAAAAGAAGAAAGAAAAAATCTGAGAAAAATTTTTTTTCATTGAAAATTGAAAATTTTGGGGAAAAATTGAAGAAAAAAAAATCCAGGGGAGGGGATTACTTTTTACATAAATTTTACCCTTAGTTGGAGATTTTGATGTTGAGTCGAGGAATTTTTGACTAACCTCAAGATTATTTAGATAATCGCAAAGTCCTTACCTAAAATATTGATTTAATTGACTTCTCGACGTACTTCCCTCATTATCTCGTTACCAATGACCCCTACGAGAAAACATGATCCGATCTTTCTTGTAGAGAATTAAATTTCCAACCGAAAATCCCTTACGACTTTTTCTCCCAAACCCCCTCCTTCCCCTCCAAAATCTCGATTAAAGAAAATGATTTTTCCTTCTCCAGAGAATTCCCTTCAATAATTCCACTTTAAATCCTCCCTAATTACCCCTTCGCTAATTAATCCCCTGAAACAACTGAGTTGACCCCCTGGAGGGATTAATAAACCTTCAGCTGATTGTTATCGTCGAAGCCAGCACTGTGACCAGCATTTCTGACGATGAAGCTGGTGCCGTCGTAGTGCATTCTCCTCTCGCCCCTCCTGACGAAGAGGTGTGAGGTTTGTCCGAGTGAGGCTGTGCAGTGGAGGAAGGGAGTCGTCAGGGAGGCAGTGCCATTACTGGGGGATGTCCTCAGCTGGTACTTGTTGCTGTTCCTGGCGATTCTCACGAGGCCATCGGGAGTCTGGGAGATCCTGACATTGTTTATCATCCAGTTCTCGACGCCCTCGTCCGTCAACCAGTACTGGGCGGCGCCGAGGGCTGCGGTGGCCTCCTGGAGGCAGCCTGGACCGTGACGAGACTCTGAGTAGAAGACGCTCAGGGAGAAGTCCTTGAAAGGAAGGGGATGAGGTGGGGGATTACGTCGGGGACGAGAGGATTTGGGGATCACATTCCCAGGGGACGAATAAAAGTTTCTGTTGGATTATTGCTTCCGAGTGAAAGCTTTGTATTCGTTCAAATTCAAGTTTTAAATTTTTTGTGTATTGGTCAGCCCTAGAGTAAATCCCTCAGTAAATTTTTTGGCTGGTATTGGTCAGCCCAGCAATCGCCATTCATTGAAAGTTCATTCATCGATTAGTTTTTTTAATCGATGCTAGTGTTGGCAAGAGCCTGAGGAAGATTTAATAAAAATCGAAACGTCGCGATTTGACAGTTAATTAGTATTGTGTACTGATTTTCAATATCCCATGACTCAAACTCATTAGTTTTTTAAATTTTAGAATTGAAAAAAAATTAGAATAATGATGATGATAACATTCAATTAAGTTGGAAATTTGACGAAATTAAGTAAAAAGAAATCTTATTCAATTGAATAAAATTAAATAAGCAATGAATTATACAGGATAGCAGGAAATGATGAGCAAAATAACCATTTGGAAGCATATTGTTAATTTATCAGCAAAAATAAATATACTATATGCAACACAAGAGCAATTTCCCACTTGTTTAAGAGGTCTCTGCAGTAAAAAACGTACTGAATTAAAGAAAAGTTGCGTCATGAATTCTTAGACAAACGGAGATGAAAAAATCTGAAGGATGGGTTGACAAAATTGTTCATTTTGCGGGATTATCTGGTTAATGAGTGGTTTTAGGAGAAAATTTCATAAAATATTTGTTATTGGAAATTTAATTCTCTACAAAAAATGTTCCTGGACATTCTCCTCTAGATCCACTCATTAACGAGATAATTCGATGATTAACAATCACTTCCCATTGAACTGTGGGGAATTCCAATTTAATTTACCTGATTCATGTCTGAAAATGAATCAGTAGTCGTCCTGGTGCCAGCAGCATCAACCAAATACACGAGAGCACACTGTTCCGAGGTGAAGCTGACGCCCTTGTACCACATCTTCGCGTACCTAAACCCCGTAAATTAATGAGAAACAGGGAAATTGAACAATCGAATGAAACGAACTTGTTGTTTCCGTGGGAGTCATGAGCCAGGATTTCAACACGTGATCCGTACTGGTAGATGCGCCCATTGGGGTGCAGCAGAGCGGCTGCTGAGCCTGAACCGTTCAGGGAGAGCACAATATTGTTCTGAAAATGAAGATTAATAGCTGATTAACCAGTCAGAATAATTAATCAATTAGCAACTAATTACCGACAATTTTTCTTATTTTCACGAGAATTGAATTATTTTAGAATTTAAATAACTTGAGAGGGGTGGCGATAGGGGGCAAATCCTCTGAACGTTTTTCGTAGGAAATTTAATTCTCCTCAAAAAATGTTCTATGGTATTTTCCTCTAAATCTACTCCTTCCCTCAAAAATTCCACACTTTCAAAAAAAATCTTTGATTTTTCTACTTTCAGAAAACTTACAAATTCCTATTCCTCGCAATTTTCACTTCACAAGAACAAAAATAATTTGAAAATATCAAGAAAAATTGAATAAACAATTAGATTAATTAATTATGATAATCATAATGGAAAATGATTAATTAATTAGCAATTAATTACTGCCGATATTCTCTTCGTTTCCTCATTTCCTCCAGAATTGAATAATTTTAGAGTTCAATTACCTTGAAATTAATGACTCTGACAGCTCTATCAATAGTCATGTCCACTCGAATTCTGTTGTGAAGACGAAGAGAAATAGTTCCGTGAGGGGTGGCAACAGCCCCGACAGTCGTGCCCTCAGGGGTCTCGTGGTCCCGCCAGTTTTCCTGATACGAATTGTCCTCTGGGTAGTACTGAGCCCCCTTGGAGTTCCTGGGGCGCCACAGGAGTCCGTTGGGGTACGAGGCGGCACCCCCAGCCATATTGTGCCATTGTTCACCAGGAGGCGTCTCCAAGTATTTAGAGAACTCGGGGTAACGCTGGAGTTTCCAACGAGAAAATTGAGAAAAAAAATCAATTTCGTTTTTGGCGGGGTTCGAGGGGCTTGACGGGGCAAAATGGGGGGCTCTGTACAGTTTCCCATGGAGAATTTGCTCAGCTTTCGAATGAGACGTGAACCAGCCCTCTAGGATAATTAGGTCCTGAGATAATTGAATTTTTCTGGAACTCGATTTTTTCATGGTTTTTGCGACTTTTAAAAATGCGAAAATTTATCTCCGGAATTTTACAGGAAATGAATTTTTATTTTTATTTTTTATTCTTTTTTTTTTTTTTTTTTTTTTTTTTTTTTTTTTTTTTTTTTTTTTTTTTTTTTTTTTTTTTTTTTTTTTTTTTTTTTTTTTTTTTTTTTTTTTTTTTTTTTTTTTTTTTTTTTTTTTTTTTTTTTTTTTTTTTTTTTTTTTTTTTTTTTTTTTTTTTTTTTTTTTTTTTTTTTTTTTTTTTTTTTTTTTTTTTTTTTTTTTTTTTTTTTTTTTTTTTTTTTTTTTTTTTTTTTTTTTTTTTTTTTTTTTTTTTTTTTTTTTTTTTTTTTTTTTTTTTTTTTTTTTTTTTTTTTTTTTTTTTTTTTTTTTTTTTTTTTTTTTTTTTTTTTTTTTTTTTTTTTTTTTTTTTTTTTTTTTTTTTTTTTTTTTTTTTTTTTTTTTTTTTTTTTTTTTTTTTTTTTTTTTTTTTTTTTTTTTTTTTTTTTTTTTTTTTTTTTTTTTTTTTTTTTTTTTTTTTTTTTTTTTTTTTTTTTTTTTTTTTTTTTTTTTTTTTTTTTTTTTTTTTTTTTTTTTTTTTTTTTTTTTTTTTTTTTTTTTCGGTAAATGAGTTACTTGTGAGCTATTTATGAGCTGGATCGGAAATTTCCTCAGCTTTCAAATGAGACGTAATTCATCCCTTTATGGCAATACCTTCCCGAGATAATGAACATTTTTCGAAATTTAATCGTCCTAAACCCTCAAATCTTATCTCACCCCACCCTAATCCCTGAAAATCACCAAAACCCCGATTCAAATCCATAATTACTCTCCCCCTTCCCGCGACAATGATAAACAATCAGCCAACTAGGTGGTGCAATTCACCTTGAGACATAAACCACAATAGTCCCCTCCCCATCATTTACAGGTGATACCGCACAATGATAAGCTATCATCATTCAATTTTCTCTGCCTTTACGTAATCCCTCGGTCATTAATCTCTAACGTCATGATAGGTATCATTACACACACGACATTCCAACAACAAACAAATAATCAATCACCAACGCTAAATTGGAAGAATTATTTTTATTAAAAAAAATTGAGTTTTGTTTTCGTTTTTTCATCTTTTTAATTTTTTTAATTTTTTGAGGAGCATGGGGTGAGTAAGGGGCGGAGGGGGGAGGCAGGAGATAAAGGATTAATGTATAAATAAATAATTACAAAATTATCAATCACCAATGCTAAATGAAAAGAATTATATGTTGAAAAAAAATGAATAAACAACGTCTTTAAATAATAAATATTAAATAAACGACTTGTTTTCGTTGTTTAAATATTTTCTTAATTTTTAGGGAGCAGGGGTGGCTAGGGGGAGGGGGGAGATGAATGATAAACATATAAATAAATAATTACAAAATTATCAATCACCAATGCCACATGAAAATAATTATTTATAAATCAAAATTAATAAAGATCGTTTTTTTTTCGTTTTTTAAACATTTTTCTTCTCCATTTTTTGGGGGCGACAAGGGGGTGAGGGAATGGGGAAATAAATGATAAATGTATAAATAAGTAATTAAAAAGTTACCAATCAACAATGCTAAATGAAAAGAATTATTTATTAAAAAAATAAATAAGAAACGTTTTTTTCGCTCTTTCCAATCTTTTTCTTTTTCATTTTAGAATGCATAGGAGGAGGAGGGGGACGAGAAGATGAATGACAAATGTATAAATAAATAATAAACAAATAATCAATCACTGAGGCAAAATAAAAAGAATCATTAATCCCCGAAAAAACGAATGAGAAACGTTTTCGTGTTGCTTTTTTTCATCTTTTTCTTTTTCATTTTGGGGGGGGGG